TGGAATGACCGCAGTGTACGTCTGTTAGCCTTTTTGGATTCATCAACGCACGGCTAATCAGCTGAACAAGTGTTGTGGGGGGTGGACGATGGCAAACTAAAAAAAAAACAGCTTAGTCTACTGCGAAGGGGAAAGACGAATCTGAGAAGACTTTGGGATTTTTTCCCTCTTCTGTTTTCTCCTTTTTCTCTTTTTATATTTTTCTTGGCTTAATGTGCATGTACTTCGGCAATGGAGTCTTGTGAAAATTGTTCAGTGGTATTCAGCGTCGCCTTCCAAGGACAATCAATGGGGGAGCTGAGAGGAGATCTTTTCCAAGCTGACTGGATCCGTGCACCTGCTTAGCTGACTGGGCCTTACCTCTTGAACCAGTTTCTCTGAATGCCGCTTCTCTCTGGAATTAATAGGGGCCATTTTGTCAAATCAGTTCACGATCCACTTTACTTTTATAAGCGAAATAACTGAAAATTCTGTGCAGTGATCTTAGTGGGAAACATGCGTGAACAGTGCTGGGGGTTTGCTTCAAAATAAAGGATTATTCTAAGGACAACTCTGAGCTAATGAGGTAGGTGCCTTCTTTTTCAACATATTTATTCTGTAGGTCAGCTTTTTCCCTTCTCCACTCATCTTTTTCTCTGCCCCCCCATCTCTCCCTCTCTTTTCCTCTCTGTGTTTAACGCAGCACCATCCTGCACTGTCGATGGCAAACAGATGCAGAGTCTTGCTCAAACCAGGGTAGGGCCACTGTTCTCCGTACCCCAGCCGAATCCCCACGCGATGTTGAATTATGAACGTGCCACATCATGAGTCTCTTTTGGCAGGTAACTGTGCACCGTGCCTGGAACGCAGCCCTGCTCTGTGCAGTCTACCTCATAGTGCGATCGTGGAGTGTGCGCGCAGCCCCCTCCGGACCACTGACCTGCCCTGGTGTTTGCTCCTGTGGTAACCAGTTCGTTAAGGTGGTGTGCACCAGGCGCAGCCTGGTTCGAGTGCCCCCAGGCATTCCTGCCACCACACGGCATTTAAACCTGATGGAGAACAGCATAGAGACAATTGAAGCTGGCACCTTTCAACACCTCCGTCACCTGGAGGTGCTACAACTGGGTAGGAACTCTATTCGGCAGATCGAAGTGGGGGCCTTCAGCGGCCTCAACAGCCTCAACACACTGGAGCTATTCGACAACCGATTGACAGTGATCCCAAGTGGTGCTTTTGAGTACTTGTCTAAACTGCGGGAATTATGGCTCAGGAACAACCCTATCGAAAGCATACCTTCCTACGCATTCAACCGTGTTCCCTCTCTAATGCGTCTGGATCTGGGAGAGTCAAAGAAGCTGGAGTATATTTCTGAGGGAGCTTTTGAGGGATTATACAACTTGAAATACTTAAACCTTGGAATGTGTAACCTGCGGGAGATGCCAGTCCTGACCCCTTTGGTAGGGCTGGAGGAGCTAGAGATGTCTGAGAACTACTTCCCAGAGATAAAACCTGGGTCCTTCAGGGGTTTGAAATCCCTGAAAAAGCTGTGGATTATGAACTCTCGGATCACAACCATAGAGAGAAATGCGTTTGATGATGTCACAGCCTTGGTTGAGCTCAACCTGGCTCATAATAACCTTAGCTCTTTGCCCCATGACCTTTTCGCACCCTTGAGTTACCTGGTGGAACTCCATTTGCACCACAACCCTTGGCGGTGCGACTGTGATGTGGTGTGGCTGGCCTGGTGGCTGAGGGAGTACATTCCCACTAATTCCACCTGCTGTGGACGCTGCCACACCCCTGCTTACCTGCGTGGCCGCTACCTGGTAGAGGTGGACCAGAGCACATTCCAGTGCTCAGCACCTTTCATCCTGGATGCCCCAAGGGATCTTAACATCTCCGCTGAACGTGTAGCTGAGCTGAAATGTCGCACAGCCCCCATGTCATCAGTTAGGTGGCTCCTGCCAAATGGAACAGTTTTGACCCATGGCTCTAATCACCCACGGATATCAGTGCTCAATGACGGGACGCTAAACTTCTCCAATGTGCTGCCAGCAGATACAGGTGTGTACACCTGCATGGTCACCAACATGGCTGGCAACTCCAATGCTTCAGCCTACCTGAATGTGACTGCAGCTGAGCTCAACACTTCTAACCTGAGTTACTTCACTACGGTTACAGTGGAGGAAGTGGAGCCCACCTCACAGGAAGTGATCAAGCCAAAGACGGTAACCGCCTCCCCCTCCGTCTTTCAGCCTGTTTTTATCTCTACGCCGACCGTTTTACTTCAAACGCCTCGACAGGTCTCGGTGCCGACTGTACGCGTAACGACAAGCCCACCTGCCAGTCTTGACGAGGTCATGAAGACAACCAAGATCATCATTGGCTGCTTTGTGGCAGTCACCCTGCTTGCTGCCGTTATGCTCATAGCTTTCTACAAGCTGCGTAAACGGCACCAGCAAAGGAGCACGGTGGCAGCTGCTAGGACTATAGAGGCCATTCAGATGGATGAGAATGTTCCTACCACCCATGCAGGGACAGGTATACCAGGTGAAAGTGGAATGATGTTACCTAGCCTGAGGGATCACAACAGCACCTACAAACCCAGCTTCAGCTCCTACAGACCAGCACACTCTGCTCCCTGGCTAGACATCAGTAACAACATCAGTAACTCCCTGCTCCATCCCCGCCCCACAACCATCAGCACCATCCCTGAACCCCACCTGATCAAAACTCACACAAAGGAGAAGGTACAGGAAACACAGATATAACATTCCTACCGCCTTCTCCTGCTCTGTCTTTTATTCTGTTCATCATGAAAACATGCAATAGAATGCACAACAGAAAAGACAGCAATTACTTTTGTACCCAGTGCAAAAATGAGACTGGACACGGGTGGGTGGCGTGCTGGTTTGGCGTTATTACAGTGGTGAGGCCTCTACTAGGTTATAAAGATTAGCTCTCATGGTTTGGCGTAGAAGAAAAAGGGGTGAAGAATATGCCAGAGTGCTTTGCTCCAACTATAGTTCGAATCAATTGCAAGTTTGACTGGATAGTAGTGGCGAGATTTCTAAAAGTAAAAATCCTGAGGTGGGGGAAAACATTTCTGAGAACTGTCAAATTGCTTTTTTAAAAACTATAAAAAAGTGTTATTGCAATAGACAAGGCCAAACTCATAACTTGTATTACTCTATTAAATCCATTAAACCGGACAATCAATTTTAAAAGTGATTCTGTTTGATGAAACAGCAAGACACATTTTTGAAACGTGCAGGAGTCGAACACTTTAGAATAAGATTCAATTTGTTATTGCGTAATGCATTTGGGGATCATTAATAAACACAGTAAAAGTTGATTGTTCATCTACATTAATATTCATTTAAAAAACAGTTTAACCTAAAAACAAAAACAAAAAAACAATAATGGTAACATTTTAACATGTAAAAAAAGTATAATGACACTTTAGTTTAAGGTTTAATTTGTTATTAGGTAATGCATTAGGGGATCATTAATAAACACAGTAAAAGTTGATTACATTAATATTCATCTAAAACATTTTAACATGTAAAAAATAATGATGACACTTTAGTATAAGGTTTAATTTGTTATTAGGTAATGTATTAGGGGATCATGTAAATGTTGATTGTTCATCTACATTATTATATGAACGTAAAACATTTTAACATGCAAAAAAAATGATAACATTTTAGAATAAAGTTCAGTTTGTTATTAGGTAATTAATGCATTAGGTATCATTAATAAACACTGTAAAAGTTGATTGTTCATATACATTAATATTCATTTAAAAAACAGTTTAACCTAAAAAAACAAACAAACAAAAAAAAACAATAATGGTAACATTTTACAATAAGGTTCAATTTGGTATTAGGCAATCATTGCATTAGGTGTCATTAATAAACACTATAAATGTTTATTGTTCATCTACATTAATATTCATTTAAAAACATTTTAACCTCAAAAAAATAATTGTTACATTTTGCAAAAAAGTTCAATTTGTTATTAGGTAATGCATTAGGTAAGGTATCATAAAAGAACATTGTGAAAGGTGACTGTTTATTCATCTACATTAATATTCATATAGTACATCAAATTATTTATGCTTTATCCTATCCAAATGCATTACGCATAGGATCAGATTTTTCATTTACACAGTCTATGCGATCAGTCAAGCATGCTCTAATTGGGCTTGTACTACAAGTTATTGTGTCATTCTCAAACAAAAACCTGCTCCCTTCTTGGCATTCTTAGAAAGAGAGGTTTTATTAAGCCCGACATCCGAACAAAATAAACACAGATAGGGTGTAGGATGTACAGTAAGCTGGTAGCACACTGGTTATCTGGGATCATGCGACTCATCAACTAGATTCCAGATAAACAATGTGGTCTTGTAAATTGCTTTGAACTAAATGGCAACTAATTATTTAGAATTTGTTTTCACATATTTAGCTCGACCCCCGTGCATGAAAACAAAAGGTTAAGGCACAGAGAATGTTGTACAGGAAATATCACCATCGATCCATCAGATAAAGAAAATGCAGGGCCGTATCTCTGTGCCCCAGGAACATCCAGACAGCAGACAGATGCCCACCGAGAGTTTAATCATATATCTGTAACACAGTTTTTTTTCTGTTGAGGGATGTAACAACATTGTTCTGCTTTCATTCTGAAGTGATAACTGGAATGAGCTGCCTTCCTACATTTTTAAAGACAAGCTGACAGCTAGAATTTCCTCCTATCGATTTCTGTTTGAGGACAGGCAGAGCCGTAATGGATGGATGTGGCGATGCTCCCCGACAGACCGACAAATTAAAAGCCTGCCCGATTCCATTTTGGAGAAAATGAAGCATGTTTAATTTAGCGCGATTTGGTTGTATCCGCTAGATGTTTTTAACAGCGTCGTCACTTCGCAAGATTTTACAGAACCAGCCACCTAAGATCAAGGCATGAGATTCGACGCCCGTCAGAAAGAACGCGAGTGTGCGCGTGTGGGTGTTGCATTGGCAGCATGACTCAAACTGAGAAGGGATGAGGAGTGTTTATTCAGGGGTACCAGCCTCTGCAGCCTCCTACATGATTATCTTGCCTGGAAATACTGAACTTGTTTGCTTGTTTACTTAAAGTCCAATCCTCCCGTTGCTTATGAAGCTTTTAGGACAAAAACAAGCAAGGTGGCTAAGCGCCGTCAGACCCTGACGAAATGCAAACCAGTGGAGGATAAACATCCACGAGGCAGAGGAAAACCACACCAATAAATTCCCGGGATTTTTCACAAGAACATACCAACATACCATAATTACATCTGACAAGGCTTTATGAAATATAGATGAAAAGAGAGGGATTTTTCGAGGTCCTCTCAAGGTTTCCAGTTGTGATACATTTGAGGAGTTATGAATGAAGCATTCATGGATGAAGGAGTGCCACCTTCAAGGTTGGCGTCTGCTCTGCTCAAACTCCACATATCAACTTGCACAATTCACAGCAGTCTGCTGGATGACAAGTGTGCATGCGGGTTTTATGTTTGATCCAAAGTGACTACATGTGTTTAATAAGAATCATGTGAAAGTGATACATTGGTTACTCGACCGTTTGCTGCTGAGGATTCATATTGCTCCTATATACACATCAAGCCCACGTGACACTTCAGACATAGACTAGTTGTAGCCTATAATGTGTTAGGAGTTTCATTTGACCTGCTCTAACCTGCTGTCATTCAAGATATAAGCAATGGAAAAGCATTCCTGAAGGGAGAGTCCTCCAAATATGGATAAAGCGGAGGAAAAAAAAAACTTGCAAATGTGAGGAATCTTAAATCTCAAGCTTTATAGGTTTAATATTAATCTTTGTTATTATTACATATGTAGCTACATAATTTATTATAAGTAATTATTTATTTTTTTCATTAAAATATATATTATGTATATAGCAGAAACATACAGTATCTATCTATCTGATAATTCATATTTGAAAATATTGAAATTAGTTATAAGAATTTCTCTAAATTTCATGTCATTTTAATTTACTTACACTTGAATATTGCAGTTATTCTTTTACTTCAAATTGTATATATATATATATTATTTTCTGGGTTAAGAGATGCATAACAAAAGTTATTTTCTCAACATCTTGATCTACAAAGTTGTTTATTTAGTCATTTTCTGGAAGCCACAAAAGCCATTTCTAAGCTTTATTTTATTAAGACAAGAATACCTAAAAATAACAATGCTTTCCAATAAAGCATATAATCATCCTGGTTGCTCTAGAAGCTTTACAAATTGTGCTTTTCATTAAGACAAATCAACTAACAACTCTAATATAAAATAAGAAATTAAACACTTGCCTAAGCACTTTATTGGTTTAAAAGGTTCTCATATTGTCACTTTCGGTGCATGTGGGTTGTTATTGACACTAACAGCTTGGTGTCTATTATCACAAAATACAAAAAATGAATTTGTGCAATAGTGCTTGATTCGTAATTGGCTGTGCTTTCAAATATAGTGGTAGAGATTAAATTAGTCTATGAACAGATTTATTTAATCAAATTTAGTACAGGCTAGCTACTCCTACAAAATGTGTCACACTTTCAATAAACACCATAGAAGGTGATACTGTGATTCCACACTCAAATGCTGTGGCATTGCGTAATGACATACGCAATAGAAGAATTAATTAACGTGAGAACTATTAGAATTGTATCAGGGGGAATCCAACGTATCAGTGGGAAACATTCATTAAATAATAGAACATCTGTGGTCTGCAATTAACTGTATATGCACTGTATATTTCTGTATCAATGGCTCTCATTCTAATATTCTAATGCAAAGGCTGAATTTTTTTTTTATGAGACCTGATTCCAATCAGCTCTCATGCATCGACTTGCAGCCTTCCATTTCCTTAGAACATCAAAGGAATGCAAAAGCACCAAAAAGCAGTCCATATGACTTAAGCACTTATTTCAAGTTTTCAGAAGTCATATGATATAGGTTTACATAAAAAACAGGCTGTATTATAAGTCATAATTACAATGGCAATCTTCACTTCTGCAATTGAGTTTGATTTGCATTAATGCATACCATTTTTTGTGACTCAAAAGAACAATTTAACATTCGCTACAACTTTATTTTCAGTTTTCTGACACCATTATATAGATCAGTGTTTCCCAACCTTTTTTTAGTCGCGGCACCCTTTGGAAATTTTAACAAACTTGTGGCACCCTACAAAACAAAAAGGATTTTTTACATGGCACCCCAGGGTGCCGCGGCACCCCGTTTGGGAAACACTGATGTAGATAACATGCCCACAACTCCCAGACCTCAGAACATAACATGCTATAAATCCTACATCTTTGTCAATATGGCAGACAGACAAAGAGATATGGAAGAGATGGAGAGAAAATCTGAAGCTAAACATGATATATGAGGGAGAACCCAACGCCTGCACCAAGGCCAGGGATTCAGTGTTTGCCCAACATGTCACAGTTCTTACCGCTTTCAACATAGCAGAGATCCTGAGTCAGATCTCCTGAGGACCCGTCTAACTAATTCATGTACACTACACACATCTCGTCTCAGGGCTTATCACAAAGCAGTTTAGATAAATTATACATATCAAAGCAGACAAAAAGCACCAGCATCATCTTTAAATCCCAGAAAAGTGGAATAGGTTTTATCAAAGCATTGCATCAATTTACTGTGGCAAAACATTGAAATATTATCCTGTCAGAAGCACTTCTTAGCAGCTGCTCACATGCTCCAATGCATAGCCTACAGAATGGAGTACTAGAATACTGCATACTGTGTCGTATACACTATATGTAACCTACTGTTTTATTTATTTCTATATGAAATGACCTCAAGTGGC